TCTTTAAGATATGTTCACGAACACCACTCAAACCATCATATTTCATTGTCATCATTTTAATCATAAGAGTGCTAGCAAGGGATTTGGAAGTTCCAATGAATTGTTCTTCAATAGATTTCATATCACCCACTGCACTTTCAGAAGCAGGGATTGCTCCTTGAATTGCAGGCATAATTGAGCCTTTTATAATCATTAGACTTAAACGATTAGAGCGTTTCCATTTTTCATATAAAGCCATGTGTTCCTCAGAACTTGTATCATTAGGCTTTGTAGGTGCTGGCTCTCTTAATGCATAGTCTAAATTCATAATTCCCAAAACAATTCCAATTTGTTCCTTCCATTTCTTAAAATTAGTTCCACTCAAAGCTTCAATACTTGACAAGTAACTATTAATTGCAGTAGGATTCAATACTGCAAACACATAATATCCATTACATAACTTAATATAATCAAGAAAATTACTTTTCACATGTCATGAATAAAAATAACACCACAAGTTAAATATATCTAACTAGAAAACATAATTAGTTAGATACAAAATCTAGATATCATTCTGTTGGGCCGAATAACAATATATTTTAGCAATTTCATAAAATTAAATGCGATGACTAATAAAATAAAATAAAATAATCATTAAGACTGTAACGAGTTTATCACCGTTAGGCAGAAAAACTCAATGTCTTATATTATTTTATTAAATAAAGCACGTGAGAAATTTATCACCGTTGGATAGAAAAACTTATTGCTATATTTATTATACTAATCATCTCAGTAGTGTTGAACCTTCGTTAGGCTAATCAACAATGTTTCAACTCATAAGGTGTGCAACAAAACATTATAAGTGCATAAGTCATTATCGTACTTACTACTTGTTTAATAATTTACAATTTTATATTTTAATATCAATAGAATAAAATATTGACAAAAAACAAAGATAAAATTGGACAAGTGTAAATCAAGGCTATGCACTAGTTACACAAAACATTATCATAAAATGAAATTCATACTTATACGTTTCATGCATCAGAATTGAGAACCAAAGCTCTGATATCAATTGATAGAAAACTTTGTGAAACATAAAATAAAAGCTGTTAAGGATTCAATTTTATATATGAAAGCTATATGAATTTCTATTATACAAAATAAGTGTATACGTACCTTGATCCATGATAGTATGAAAACCTCTTTTAAGAAAGAGAAACCTTGAAAAGAAGACCTTGATCTTCAAGTTCTTTATTTGTCTAAGATCTTCAAGCCACTTCTCTCTCTCTAGGCGATGTGAGCCTTCTTGTGGTGATAACTTGAGTTTTTGTGTTAGAGAATGTGGTTTGGGACCTTACACTATTTATACTAGTAATCTTCTCATTAAAGAATTCATTTATTCAATGAACCCCATTAGATAGATTAATGTATCTTCTACATTCAAATAGATACATAATAGATATATAATGTATCTCTAAGATTCATTCATAATAAATCTATCACATTCAATGTATTGGCACTATCTCCATTAGTCTTCTATACATTATGTATATATAGGTGCATTTATCAATAATTAATCACCATCTAATTAATGTACATGTATTTTGCTTAATGAGATGAATCTAGTATAGTCATGTATAAGTCACATTAAGTCATATTTAGGAAAATTTTTTACAATACTCCTTATGTTTCCTAATCATCTAACATAAAATTATTAATTATACCGTTCTATCAATTATAAGACACCTAAAACATCATGTGACTGCGTCCCAAGATCAACGAATAACTTGCTTTATAAAAGCAACAGTTCGTAATACATGTTTCCTAAAATTAGAATTAACATATATCATAAAAAAAGAAAATTGATGTGAAACTGGGGAAATAGTGGGTTGGTTTGGCATCCTTCAAAAAAATCAAAAAGTCCAAAAGTTACTAAAAAAATTAAAAAGGTATCACTATTCACCACAAAAAAAATAATAATAATTTTACACAAAAAAAAGTACCACTCACTTCTCACGTGAGTTGTACTTTAGCTGACTTTGGTTGGACAAAGGGAACAGGTGGGTGCACAAACAAGATGGTGTTGTTTGGCCCGTGGAGGCCCATCACGGATCCCGTTTTGATAATATGAACCGCTGAATGTGTAGAACTCGTCGAGTATTATATGCTTGTAAAAAATCACGTTGATTGGATATCGCTAACTACATGATCAAATCAGTTTTGTATAAAAAAATGGATGGTGTTATAGTTAACGGTTGAAAAAAAACTAATCCGATCAGATAGCTATCGATATCCGATTAACGTGATTTTTTACAAGCATATAGTATTCGATGAGTTTTACACATTGAATGGTTTCGATTAGCTAAACAAAACCCATGGTGGGCCCCACAGGCCGAATATAGCGATCTCGGGTTTACCCTTGTTGTACAGTGATCCGGACATGTGTCCGTGGATGATAGTAGTTGATTATTACCTAGTGTACATCCTTTCTTACTTTGTATTTGAGTTATAGGATGTGTTGGGCAGATTTGTTACAGGTTGGTTGAGATTAGAAACCAAAACTAGTTGCCCAGATTCTGACCTGTCCGCTCGAGCAGGGGTTTTGGCGCTCGAGCGGGGGTTTCACCCATCCAGTATTTCCTGTGCAGTGTTCGACGCTCGAGCGTGGGATTGGCCGCTCGAGCGGGATTGTGTGAGTGCCGCTCGAGTGGGGAGTTGGAAGCTCGAGCGGGAGACCTGTCTGCATAAGTTCTGGGAGTGTGTATCCGCCGCTCGAGCGGGATTATTGACGCTCGAGCGGGAGTTTGTGAGTGACGCTTGAGCGGGGAGTTTGACGCTCGAGCGGGGCGACTTTTATATAAAGCCGAGATCCGATTTTTTTGTTCACTTTTCAACATCCTTTCTCTCTCTTACTTTTCCAAAAAGCTATTTTGAGAGTTCTTCACACTAGAACCCTAACTTCTCTCTTAGGATTGATCTAGTAGGAGTTGTTTTCTCACCTTGGGCCTTTACAAAAGTTGTGTTGATCGTCGAGGGCTATCTATTAATCTGAAAATTTCGGGATTTGGAGCATTTCCGTTTCTTCATCTCCTTCGTTGGGTCCCATTATTTGAGGTAGGGATAACCTACTCCATCTTATGAACTTTGTCTTTGAACTTTAACATTTTGTTATGTTGGGGGTTGTTGGGTAATTTTGAGAAAGTTTGGGCCTTTATGCGGTTTTACAAAATGTTGGGGCTTTAATCATATAAAACCTAAATGCATGTTTGGCATGGAGAAGTGAAATTAATGTTAAAACATTAATGAAAATGGAACCTAAGAGTTGTGATGCTAATTATGGAATATGCCCTAATTACATTGGTTAATTAATTTGTATAATTAATTGTTGGAAATGAGGAATTGTATTGAGAATGTTGAAATGTTGATATATTATCCATTTGTGCATTTATTTCCTGCTTAGAAATAAGTGCTTTGGGCTACCGGTGGAGGGTAGTGTTGATTGTTGTAGACAATGCATGATGATTAGGAAAACTAAAACTAATCAATTAGATGTGTCATAGAGTATGACGGTTGATAGAATACATTAACTTTATGTACCTGTGGATTGTGCATGTGACCAATGTGTTTATATGCATTATGTGTAGACGATTGATAGAATACGTTAATTTTATGTATTGATTGATTGCATATGTGATTCTGTGTTTATATGCATTACTTGTGTATGGGAGGAGATGGGGGATGTACTCCATGGTTTAGGGGAAGATGGGGGATGTACCTCTAAACCGGTTAATGGTTACGGGAAGATGGGGGATGGACCCAGGGATGCAGCTCATATGCTCACCCATTGTAGTATTGAAGTGTTGATACAGCTCATATGCTTATCTATTGAAGTGTTGATACAGCTCATATGCTTATCTGTTGTAGTAGTGATATAGCTCATATGCTTATCTACTGAAAAGTTTGTTTGATTTGATATAGTACTAAAATGTATATCATCATTGTTTGCGAAGTATGGAAATAGTTTATGTGTTATTGATACAACACCAAAATGTGTATCCACCTTGGATTTTGAAAGTGTTCTAGTGATGAGCTATAATCTCATCAAACGTTTTGGCCAGAGTACTGAGCCTTGTTTTCAAACTCAAAGTTGAATAAGAAATGAAAAGTGAATTGTAACATAGACTTGGCTGTCATGGAATTTTTACAAGATGTAAATAGAAGCGTAAGTATTGACTATCTATCAGTTGCTAATCTTTTAGGCATTGTTCATAGTCGGTTTAGTATATTTCTACTGGGCTGTGGCTCACCCTATATGGGAACATCATTTTCAGGTATAGGTAGCACGCCATCTCTGAGGACATAGCTTGGAAGGCTAGAGGCAGACATACTTTTGTTGCCTTATTCTTTCTTGATTGTATTACATATAGATTTGAGCCTAGAACTTAATGTGTATTTAAGCTAGCACCCTCTTTTGTAACCAAGTGTTAACTTGGAAAGCTGTAAGCCCGTAAGGCATTTGCTTCTGTTGTAACCGTGTAATACTTTTGTAATGAAATATTCTGATGAATAGATGAATGTGGACTTGTATGTATCAATGCATGTCTCTATATAGATGGGTTTAATGTTGTTATTTTGAGGGCGTTACACCGAACAATACCATTCAATTCAATGCCCGAAAAGGAGGTAGGCATCTCCTATACACTACTCTGCACCATGCTGCCCACCGTACTATCTACTCGCCAAAAAGCTTCTCCTATATACTAATTTATACAATTTTTTTATCAAATTTTTCGTAAAAAGTCAAAAAATTATCCCAAACAACCATCTTTTTTTCCTCAACTTTTTAGTCCAAAAAGTCAAAAAGTGCACTTATTTAACACATCCCAAACAACCCTTAAATTTTGAATTGTGTAGCTTTTTTAGCCAATCATAAACTAACACGTAGGGTTGTAGCATCTCTAACCTAATATGTTGGAGGAAAATGTTGTCCATATGAATAATATTAATCATGGTTAAATTGACCATGGTTAGTATTTCCCTTCTACGTCTATCAGCGACTCCAGTTGACTAATGTGAAGCATCTCGAACTTTGCTGATCCGAGCTACTTCGAAGACGAAAAAGTAAAGGAGCCCTCTTGCTTTCTATGTTCTCTCTCTGTCTCTGTCTCTCTCTCGCTCTCTCTCATGATCCAATACATTTTTTCCCTTGTTTATGTTAGTATATCGTCCCGATCAAATTTGTAAGTACACCTAGAAAAATAAAATAAAATTGTAAGTATCCTATGTTTGGATTTCAAAATTGTTAAGGAAAAGGAAAAAGATAAGAGATGAAAATAAATTGAAGGCTACTAAATTCCCTATTTTTTTTTTTTGCTTGAATTAAGAAAAGAAAATGAGTAGTATTTGTCAAATAAATAAATAAATAACCATTAAAAAAATGTATATGTATAAGTTGATTACATTTTTTCCTTTGATTTTCTTTTCCCTTGACAACTGGTTGGATAAGCATAAAGTTAAACAGTTTGATTTAATGGATGAACTATAAAATTGATATTTCAGATGTCTGCTTGCAATTTGAGAATTTTGAGTGCCATTCAAGTCAAATTACAAATATTGTTTCCTTGGCAAATATTAGTTCTATAATTAATTTCTTAGCAGATAAATCTGTGTATACATTTGTAAGATTGTTCTTGATTATAATAATGTATGTATATGCCTTTCTAGGTTAGGGTCGCGCCAATGCTTTGGAATTTATACACATATTAAATGATTATCATCTTTACATTTGTTGTGTTAGATCACCAAGTGTTCTAAAGATTTATGTAGTTGGTTCCAAAAAATTTTGGGGTTCAAGTCTTATGGTATACTCTTGTTTGCCCATTATATTTGTTAGGGGAAATTACAAAATAAACATCAAGGTTTGACCTTTGCAATGAATTAAACCCTCTTATTCTAATTTTTTGTCAAATTAAACCTTGATCTTTCAATGCGATGTCAATTCAAACCATTTGCCCATTTCTGTTAATTAGAATTAAAGAGAAAGGTTAATATTTTTTATTCATTCTCATAATTTCTATTTTTCTTCTTTTCTTCCTCTCTTTTTTGTTATGTCACTCTCCTTCCTTCCTTTTTTGCCCCAAGTTATGACAACAACAATGCCACTCACCGGAACTAGGATTAAATTGAAAAATTATCCAAAAGGAGATTGGTAAAAAGATTAAATTATCCATTCTCTGTTAGTTTGGATTGAAACTATATCAATTAAAAATACAGAGTTTAACTGAAAAAATAAAACGCAGGGTGTAATTTGTTAATGGGTTGAAACCATGGGGATATTTATGTAATTTCTCTTATTATTTTGTACTTTGTGTGTATTTATGGACTCTGTTCAACTTTTTTGTTTGCCTCTCTACATGCGAGATAGGGTTGCATGTGATGGGGAGTGTTAAATAACCTAACATATGTTGTTGGGTCTATTTCCTAACCAATTTTAGTGGTTTATATTGGATAGGCATGCCGATTTTAGGCTAACGTTTAGATAAATTATATGATGCATTGAATATAAAAACAAAAACGAAACCTGGGCATAAAAATTGTCAACTATTTACAAAAAAAATGAAAGCAATTTTTGAAATGAATGAATTTAAATATTTTTCATGATACGAAACTAAGATTATCATAAAGAATCTAAAATGTGAAGAAAAGTTTAAATGACTACATTGAGAATTAAAAGACGTGGATTAATGTGAATTGTTTGATAAGTGGAATTGATAGAAATAGTATAATTCAAAAACAAAAATAAAAATAAAATTAAGACTTAAATAATTGCATTAATGTGAATTGTTTGATTAGTGAAATTGATTGAAACAGTATAGTTCATCTAACAAAGAGATATATTACAGTTAAAAATCGAATCAATTGGAAGAAGGGATAAATATAAGTTGGCTTCACGCATAATTTTCATTGAGGACTAGAAAAAAATAGAAACCAAATGTAAAAATTTACACCAATATATATGTATATATCTATATATGTATATCTTAAGGATATCAATGTACTCCTTCCAAGCGTTAACTAGATCTCTAGATCGCTTGGCAAATCCTAGCCTGATCATAGCCCTACGAATGATCTAGTCTATGGTGGCTATATCTCTCTAAGAAGGCAAGGCAAGTCTATCTAGTCATAGGGTGGCACTTAATAGTCAATCAATTTGTTGTCCCAGTTCGCGGGTGTAGCCTAGAATATGAGAGGGGTTAACAAAAAACACAAAAGTTTCTCATTATATTTATTTATATAGTTATAGAACTATAACTAAAAGAAAGTATCCGTTGACGTAGGTTATTTGTTGTAGTTTTTTTTTTTTCATCGATTGGTGTTCAATCTACCGAATTTGTTAGTACAAGATTGCAAAGAATGCTTTGCATTCCAAGTGAGATGCCCAAGAGAAAAGGAAGGAGGGGAAGAATTGATGAGGAATCTATAACATAAAATAGTGAATGTAAAAACCTGACGAGAATTCTCAACTTGAGATGTTAGAAGGTGCAAAATCAATATGTGCTGGAGTTGCTATGTCTCGGTCTGATCCTCATTGTACTCATCTCATGCTATTGTGCTTGTATTAGGTCCGGGTATTGAACATGTGATATACCTCAAAATAATACATTTCTGTTACCGCAATATATATTGGCAGCCCATGAGTCATTTGAATTTTTTTTTTTTTTTTTTTTTGGCCTTAAGAAATAATCAGCAATCTCTAAAATTGGTAAAATTGTAAACCCAAAAATCGAAAATTAAAAGAGAAATTCATGTAATTTGAAAAGTTTTAATGAAGGTTAATTAATTTGTAATAAAAACTTGATAAATGACTAATTGCCAAAAACATAAGGAGTAGATTAATAAGTACAACTCTTTTGATCTATGAGATAAAAAATTATGTACAAAATTTAAGATAGGTTAGGTTTAAGCTTATAATATTAAATTTTTAGGAGGTTGATTTAATTTAACATTTTTTTAAATTTTTTTTATTTATTTTTAAAGAGTAATGGATTAAGTGTGCAGGTGTTTCAATGGGATCTTATTCAAACTTTATATTATCAACTTATTAAAGATTAATATTTAACATTATTGTCATGCTCTCTATTTCTTAGGGGAGGGGGCAAAAGTTGGAAAGGAGCTTAAACAATATTACTATTTCCAACATAATCTATACCCTACAATTGATTGCGACCATTTAGCGTACAATCATTGATTATATAATAAAATTAGTGATTTTATATGATATATATATATATATATATATATTTTCTATTTATAATTACCGTAATTATTTATTGAAATTTATTGGCGCTACGTTTTATTTTCAATCGAAGAGAAAATTTTCTTATTAAAATAAAAAGAAAAATCAAAAACAAAAATTGGAAAGAAAGGAATGAAAAATGAATGCATCCTAATTATTATTAAGAAGTTATTCTTAATTTGATATATGCACCGAGTAACCCACTCGATTTAAATAATCCAACCTAATTATCATGTGTTTTATCTTATGATATTAGGCTATGCTACATGGACTCTCAAAAATAAATACCCATATGTCGAACACCCAACACTTGGATAAGGGTGTGGGATATGTGTCTAATATTTTCCATCGGATGCTTCTTATATTTGTGTATTTAACACTATTATTATATGTATGTATTGTTGTACAATTGCTATATAATGAGTAAAATGTTTGTTTGACATTAAATGTCACATATGACACCATTTTGTCTCATATAATAGATTAAAAAAATATAAATAAGATTTTTGCCAAATCTGTTTGCTTTAAATTTGAGCCTTGATGGATCCGACCTCTAGATATGCATTTTCATCTGACACCTGTACCTGAGTCTATGTAACATAGTGTGGGGATGAGAATTTCGGAAATACTCCTCGAATCTAGACAAGCCTAAAAGATCCTTGCACTGTCACCTGAAACAGATAAACAACGTTGGTCGGTAGTGTCGGACTTAGCACTCTGACAGTTTAGTCAGTTCTATCTCTAGGTCATTGATCTTGTATATTTCTTGGAGCATACGTTGTTTTTACCCCCCTCTTTTCTCGGGCTCCTTTCCTCTTTTATAGTCTTTCTCTGGTCCCACTTTCTTGTCATGCTTGTTTTAGGATGGCCCAGCATAGTTGTCCAACGGGACCCTTCCTACTACCCTGGACTACTCGGCTTCGACACATGGCATGAATATCTCTTACTTAGCATCCCATGTGGTCTTTAACACCTATTCGGCGACGATCCATAGCCCAATGGGCTTTGGCCTCGTATGGCGCAATTGATTGGTTCACTTCAAAGTTGATTATTTATTTTCGGCTCTCACACATAGATATTAGGTTATCGGATCAAGATATGCAGACATTATATTGACATGTTAAAATTAGAGGCATTTAGTGAGAAGTCCTATTTTATAGAATTGTTGGGGGTTAGGTCGTACTTATGATATTTTATTCCAATTACTCTTGTTAGTGTTTTTTTCCTCCAAAAATACCCATACATGCAAATAGTGTGTGCCTAGTTGAAAGAAAAATTATTAGGTGCTCTAGGTGCATCACGTAATGTCATCCATCAATCAACAAACAACATACCTCTATGCCCCAACACAATTGTGAACCCCACTCCTCCTACAAACACATCTCTATGATGGTACCACCCGACCATGCCCCAAGAGCACTAAATAACTTCTCTTTGATAGAGTTCGATGAGTAGGTTTTAAAATATAAATTTTATAAAAAAGCGGATGTGTAATATGAAAATTATGAAATTTTAAAGTTTAAAATACATAAAAGATATTTTGCCATATCATCAAGCTTTTGCATCAGCACATGTCTGGCTCCTTTCCCTTTTTAATTGAGGGCAAAATCATCTCACAATAAAAACAATTGGGAAAAAAGGACTTCTTGGGATAAAAATTTTCACATGAGAGTTGTCCTAGCATAACCTCACTAAATAGGACTTATAGGTAATTAATCCTTAAAATTATTATAATAAATCAAAAGGTAATTAGGTACTAGTATGAGTCAAATGTCTCTTAACCAAAATTTTTGGCCCTAATTTTTAGGGTGCATTGTCTATGATATAAAGTTGTAGGTCCCGGCCAAGATAAACTAAATTTCATTGGATCAGTTAATTTTACAAACAAACATTTGGTTTGTCGTGCTAAAAACCATGCATTACGTACCAAATGCCTAATGCTAAACTTAATTTTCATGTAATTATTCTAAATGCATATAAAAAAAAATGTAACTTAAAATAGTTATTCTCCTGCATTTAATCTGCGAATAAGTTTTTTATTATATATATATATATATATTATATACCTTTTTCCTATCAATTAAAATTTAAGAAACAATTGTGATCATAAATAATTTACATATAATGTAATATTTCAAATATATACATACAGTGATAAAATAATTGTCCCTAATTATTTCTTTCAAAAATATTTTCTTCTTTCATGCATTGCATGAGTTCATTGCTAGTTTTACATATTGGAAAATAATGACAAACAAATCCTAATATCTATTTTAGAAAGCTCTATCATAAAAAACTTTAGAAATTGTGGGATTGAGAATTCCGAAAAATTAAAAATTCTAAAGAAATAGATGTTAATCTGTACAAATTCACATTATTTTTATTTTATCATTAGATCCCAAAGATTAGTTATGTACCTAATCTTTCCCCTGCCAAGCACATTAATGTGTACTATTTGAGCATTGTTTTAAACTTGCATTGTGTTTAATGATTGTCTCAAAGATGGATAAGTGCCTGAGTGTCCCCCTAACAATTTGAAGAATGTCCATTTCTAAAAAATTAATGAGGGATGTTCCAATGCATGTCCAATGTGTTGGACCGAAAAGTATCCAATGAATATGTCCAATATATGTCCAACACACACAGAACCGCCAAATGCTTGTGTTTTCTAGGTATTTACAATACAGCCCAAGTCAAATGGGAGCATGCAACATTTAATGTTGGGATGGTCTTGCTCATTTGCATCTAAACTTCGACAAAACCTGAACTGGCTGCTATCTTCAATTTTTATTTTATTAATTTATTTTTCCAAAGTCTGTATTAATTCCTTGATCAAAATTTTGCAGTGGAATTCTTTCTGCAATGGCATCTAGTACAGTGGTTCAGCGGGGTGTCGACATGTTCAGGGAAACTAGTGTAGAGAAAATTATTCTTGTTGGGGCTTCTGGAGTTGGGAAAACATGGACAGCTAAACAGTTAAGTAAGCATGCAATTAAAGAGGGTTTATTTGAGATTGTTCTCTGGGTATTCTGCAACAGAGAATATCATGGGACAGCTCTTAGTGATAGTATTGCTCGTCAATTGTCTCTCCTTCCCATTGCTGATGAGTGGGAAGCTGAGGATAGCAATAAGGGGAAAGAGGAGGAGGAGTTGGAAATGATGATAGCTAAATCCCTTGAGAAGAAGAAGGTTCTTTTAATTTTGGATGATGAAGGAAACAAAATGAAGGAAGGACAGATAATGCCCAAATTGGAACTTCTGCTGAATCTTCCCAATGTAAGTTCATACAAGGTTCTAATCACTAGCACAAATGCTCCCATGGGATCCAAAGAGGAGATTCTGGTGAAGCCCTTGTCTGTGGAAGAGTCATTGTCCTTATTTCGAGATAGGGTTGGGAGAAGAGTTTATGAAGATCCAGTCATTCAAGATTTAGCTGAAACTTTCATAAAAGAGACAAAATATTTTCCTGCTGCAATTATGTTGATGGCAAAAGCCTTCAGTTATTTTGTTCAATGTGATTCTGGCACACAGATGCTTAAGAGTGCTTTGAAGGAAGCATCTGAATCTGATGGTAAAAACTATAATTTAGCATGGCTACTACGCAGTGGGTATGACTTGTTGCCAAGGAGTGTTTTAATTGACTGTTGTCGGCATGGTAGTCACTTCTTTCGCAACCGTGGAAGCATTCATTACAGTGAGTTGATAGCTTACTGGATATTGGAAGGATACCTTGGGCATGTTGATTGTATGGAGAAGGCATATGAAAAGGGCCATTCTGTTTTCATGGAGCTTGTGGATTGCCAATTGCTGAAAAAACTGGATAGTGGTTATGTTATCATGGACAGTGACCGGGCAATCATAAATTTGGATGAGTTTGATTGCTATGGATTCGGGGGGACCACCAGTCTTGGCTTGGCTGATCTGTTTGAGGATTGTAAGGGGACAGCCAGTCTTGGCTTGGCTGATTTGTATGAGGATTGTAAGTGGGAAGGCTTTGGGAGAATCAATCAAGCAGATGGAATGATAAAATCAGTTTGTTCAACTAAAACGCTTTTTCTTAATGGAAATCGTTGTCTGGAAATCCTTGATAGTCTCTCTGGGTTGGAGAAACTCCAAGTTCTTGCCCTTTTCAACCCGACTTCCAAATCATTGACACAACTCTCGTCTGAAATGCGCCAGCTCATTGTGCTTGTTCTTAGAGGTTGTGATTTTTTGGTGGAGATGGACTACAAGTTTAAAATTGTGCTTGTTCTCAGAGGTTGTGATTTTTTGGTGGAGATGGACCACAAGTTTGAACTTACGAGATTGACTGTTCTTGAGATATCTAATCCTAGCTCCTTGAAAAGAATTCCAGATGATTTTTTTGCACATATGCTCCAGCTTCAAAGCTTGCATATATCTGAATTGAAGGTTGATCCTTTACCTTCATCTCTTTACAACCTTAAAGAATTACGCTGGCTCATTCTTAGAAGGTGTTCTTCCTTCAAAACAGTACACAGTTTGAAAATTTTCAAAAATCTCATGGTGCTTGATGTTTCAGGTGCTACATCTTTGACAAATTTTATCGACAAAACCTTTCGACACACTCCAAAACTTCAGACGCTTAATCTTTCACATACCTCTATTAACAGGATACCAAAACTTCAAAATCTTGGACAGCTTACTCATCTCTCACTACGTGGCTGTAAACTCTTAGATAGACTGCCCAAAACTGATTCACTAACTAGTCTCCAAACTCTTGATCTTTCAGGTGCTATAAAGTGTAAGGAATTCCATGAGCAGTCACAAAAACTTCCTAGTGGCCTTAAAATTCTTGATATATCACAAACTCCTTTAGAAAAACTACCTTTTGAGATTAATGCTCATCATCTCTTTATAAAACATTGCCTTCGGCTACAAAAACTACCTTGTATTGAAGCACTTAAAGATCTCGAGGTACTTGATCTTTCAGGTACCTCAAGTCTGGTTGAAATTGAAGATCAATTCTTTAGTCATCTGTCTTCTCTTCAAATTCTCAACCTGTCGGAAACTGGAATAAAAACTCTTCCTTCAATTTCCAATCTTTGCAACCTGCGTCAGCTATTATTGTTGGGCTGTATTGCTTTGACAAAGATAAAAGATACATCTTTTGAGCAGATGTCTTGCCTTCAAAATCTCGACCTCTCTGACAGTGGGATAATATGCCTGCCAGAACTTTCAAATCTGAGTAACCTGTCTGTGCTCTCTCTTAAAAGATGTACTAACTTGAAAGCACTTCCACCTCTAGAAACTCTATCAAATCTTGAGGAGCTAAATTTATGTGGTGTTAGTTCTTTGAAGGAAACTGGGTCTGGTTTTTTGGTGCACATGAGCCGCCTTCAGATTCTTGACCTCTCTGAAACCCAGATTGAACAGTTACCATCCATGTCAAACCTCAAAAGCCTTCGTCAGCTATCTATAAGAGGTTGTCAGCATTTACAAACAGTGCCAAATTTGGAAGTGCTCATGAGCCTTCAGGTTCTGGATCTTTCTGGCACAGCAGTCACTCATATACCATCCCTTGAGAATTTTAGCAACCTCAGAGAGCTCCTCCTTAGGGGTTGTTCAAACTTGGAAGGGTTCATGCATGTGGAAATGATTGATCTGTTGGGGACCACTGTTAAAGAGCTTCCCTATGGAATCTCAAAGTTGACTCATCTCGAGTGCCTTGATCTGCCACACACGGAAAAAATACAAGGAGCTGAGAGCAGAAACATGAAGTCCCTGCCAGAAGTGGAGGATCCTTATCAGTGGAGTATGTCCAGTTTTGACAATCCTCACATTGCTATAAGTGGTATTCAGTTTCTTCAAATTTTAAAGAAAAACCCCTCTTCACTGGAGACACGATTTCATTTATGTGTCCATCCTACCAAGGAGAAAAATAAGAATGGGGATACATATTCTTATAGAAATGACCATATTTTCGGAGATATCCTCTTCCGGACTGCAGAATTTGACCGTTTTAAAGAGCAACGATCACTGGAGATACATGGATTTGATCTTTTCCCCAGTGGTGTAGGGGATGTGCTCTGCAATGCTGACTGTGTATTTTTTTATCAATAACACATTCAACAAATGGTTTTCTGATATTGGTGTTTCCAGCCTCTTCAAATTTTAAAGAAAAACCCCTCTTCACTGGAGACACGATTTCATTTATGTGTCCATCCTACCAAGGAGAAAAATAAGAATGGGGATACATATTCTTATAGAAATGACCATATTTTCGGAGATATCCTCTTCCGGACTGCAGAATTTGACCGTTTTAAAGAGCAACGATCACTGGAGATACATGGATTTGATCTTTTCCCCAGTGGTGTAGGGGATGTGCTCTGCAATGCTGACTGTGTGTTTTTTTATCAATAACACATTCAACAAATGGTTTTCTAATATTGGTGTTTCCAGCCTTCAGGCAATCAAAGGCTGTTGGATTGAGAGATGCACAAAAATGGAGGGTGTTTTTCAAGCAGGAAAGGAAGATGATATCGCTGAACTGGGGTTAGAAATTTTAGGGATTTCAAATGCCAAAAATTTGAGTACTTTACACAGTGGGAATGTGCATTGTCAGAGCTTTCAAAAGCTTAAATGTCTATACCTTGACTGTTGTCCTAAGCTTTCAACTGTTTTCTCGTCATCCCAGCTGCTAGAAAACCTCGAAGTTCTTCAAGTCAGATTTTGTGATAAATTGGAGACAGTATTTGAACAATCATCTCCAGAGCCCGAATTGCAAAATTTGGAGACATTATATCTGTGGGAATTACCAGAACTAACGAACATTGGATGCAGATTGCCCTCTCTACAAACTCTAAAAGTATGGGAGTGTCCAAAGCTGCAAAAATTAGAAGACACTGTCAGATTGGCCGAAAGTTTACAGACTTTATGGATTTCCAATGTTGTTCATTTGAAGAACATGTACAGTGGAAGCCAGCAACTTGAAACTTTGATTCTTGAGAGTTGCCCCATGCTTGAAACTATCGTCCCTTCATTGCAGCGGCCACAAAGTCCCATGACTATCAAAATCAAGTCATGCAACAAATTAAAGCCTGTGTTTGGAAGCGACACATTATCAGAGTCTATAATGCAGTAGCTGCACGCACTGAATCTGCACAAATTACAAAAATTGGAGGAAATTGGGTTTAGAAAAACTGTTGTCACAGGATGCCTAAATTCCCTAGTGGCTTGAATATCAAGCTCTCCTCCTGTTAGCTATATCAGAAGAATTTGACATGGAATGAAACATCAGGGGTATTGGGCAATCGTAATTGAACATAATATAAATTCATGGAGATGCTGAGCAATTGTTGCCTTTTGCACTCCCAATCTGACTTCAGGTTATTATTTTTAATATTACTCTTCGTAATCATTTTGATTTCACTTACAAGTACATCCACATCCTGCTAGGATAAGGGGTATCCTTTTTGTTTTTTTTTTTTTTTTTTTTTTGTTTGTTCTTACCAACCTAAATTCTAGTATGAGCTTCTTGATGCCTTTTATTAATCTGGAACAAGAAGCTGATCACTTTTCATCACAATCAGAGACATTATATATATATATATATTTAGATGCCTTTTTTTTTGGTTTCTTTTTTAAAATCTTTTCTTGGTTTGACTTTATGCTGTAATTACATATGCCTCTAAATCAAAGGTTTGTTTTCTGGATTTGTTGATACTTCAGCTTCCATCTGGAAGAAGGCTGCCAATAAATCATGAATGTAGAGGCACAAGAATAATGTCTATGGTGTTCATGAATATTTTGGTGGTTGAACTCTTAGATGACAAATAATGTGGGGCACGAATGGATACCTATGTCAGTGCTGCCTTATGAAAAACTTTATCCAAGTCAGGATGAACATCTGAAACCTTTCTCAACTTCTAGGGCCTAGTACAGTTAGTTGTCTGTCGTCATATACTTCTAAACAACTGAAACTGTTGTTAATATTCATTTCTCATTTTAATTTTGCCGGATCATGTATTCATTCTAGCTGCTACTGCACTTCTCAATTGCATTGTATTGAAAATAAGTTGCTTTCTATTCATGGGCGTTGCTTTCACCATCTCAGTTGGAGCATTAATGGGATTTTACTAGACAGGGATTAGGAGGAAGTTTAACTTTGAGGTGAGCATCTTCGTCTCCGGTTGCATGTGATTCTACATTAGCTGACTGCTATTTTTACATGCCACCTTTGTTTAATATATTGTTTTCCTACTCTTGTTTCACTTTGTATTGTCATCTTTTGGCTCTTGTTTTATGCCATATATGCATGCACTGTAAGTACATTTCTGGGTAGGTTTGCATTTTTTCTGGAGAAAAAGTGAACATGTTGTATTTGGGCACCTTGGGTTAATAATCGCTTATTTGCCTTACTTCACCTCAATAAGCAATAGACTAGACCATCCATGTCCTTTCCCATTTCTACATTTTTCTACACTTGCAAGTTTTACCCCATTGAATAAGGGAGATGGAAAATACACCGAAAGCATCTCTCTACACCAACTGTACATGAATTTCTTTCGTAAGGCGGAAGGATCTCAATGCATCTGGTGGGTGTAAAAACAAATTGTGCGAGTCTGCTTAGAAGTTCCCTTTGAATAACTGTCATCTGCAGTTGCCTGTTTACATGAATGTCGTGTTATCTAGAATTCAGGGATCCTCAGAAAGCAATGCTTGACTGAAGTGTTATGCATCCTCTAGAAATTGAATTAGGGGAATCATGTTTTTCATTGTATTTGAGAGGACTATATGGTGCTCATAGTGTTAAAATGTGCCAATAATTCAATTCTTTTTTGTACCATTGTGTTGATTGTATCATTGACTCTATTTTATATACTTATCAAACAACATAGACTCCTTATGCCTACTTTTGTTCTGTGAGTCTGACAGCTTTGTTGGGCAAAAGAACTTCAAAAATAAAAATAAGAAAAGTAACCCCAAGGAGTAGGCCTAGTGGTAAGGTCTTGGGGGTGTGCTCCCTCCAAGGTTCAAGGATCAAAACCTCTTAGGAGTTAGCAATTCTTTGGGGCCATCGGACTGGGGGAAAAACCTTTGAATTAAATGTGGTGCACTTGCGGGAAACTCATTGTTGAGGGCTTGTGCACCTCTGGGGATTAGTTGGGTTTTGATCTGGACACTCCAGTGCTAATAAAATAAATAAATAAGTAAATAAAAAGTAAAACAAAGCAAAGATGTCAATGTTGGTTGTTGGCCTCCCATTCTTTCAGAAATTCAGGGTCGTCTTGTAGAATGCTCACTCCAATGCGTTATCTTGATTTTGCATTGGGGAAAATAAAATCGAAAAAGAAAGTCTTTATGCATACTGCATTCTTCCTCATTTGTCCCACTCTTTCTTTCTTGCCCAAAGTCAGGACTGATTTATGATTTTTCTTATCATTTTAACCCTCTTTCTCTATCAGGCTTGACCTTTTCTTTTCATAATAAGCCAAACAATAAAATGTCCTATTAAAAAATGGTGTTTTTTATGGCAAAAACAGAAATCAAGAAATAATAAACAGGAAATAAACACACAAGCACACAAACAATTTATGTGGTTTGGCTATAAGTCTACTTCCATGGGTGAAGAGTGATGAGTGAGTTTCACTATAAATATAAAGATTACAATGAGCCGGCTCTTTCAACACAACTATCTCTTACATAAGATCTCCAAAAGGCCATCACACCTAAAATCCCAAAATAATCCAATATATACAAGGGTATGAAAAGAATCAAACCGGGACAAAATATCCCAAATACAAATAGTGGACCTAGCAATTATTCGGGTCATGTGGTCCCAATGAGTGATGACATAATCCGGATTGAATTCAAGTCACACCCATAACAATTTTCTTCAGTTTGCATTGATGAATCCAAAAAGTTTCATGCATGCTTCGTTTTTCTACGCACACTGCATGCTTATCATCTGATCCATGTCAATGTTGGTATTCCTTCTCATAAATCCAATTCTATGTTACATGTGTAAGAACCAGAATTTCAATTAATTAATTATCTATTTAATTACAATTTAAAATTTATTATTATTTTTTAAGAGGAAAATTATAGTAAAATATAATTTGATCTAATAATTGTAATTTATGTAAATTAATGGAGAGACAAAATAAAATAAAAGAGATTAATTACTTTTGGAAGTCAATCATAAGCTTATACAAAAGATAGGATAAAACCCTAAGTCCTCATTATATTATTCTCCATCATTCTGTTATTAACAAAGCTAGAGTGAGAGAGATGACTAAGGTTGGAATCAAATACAGAAACATTAGAAGACATAGATGACAAAAAATCTCTTCACATTATTGTAACAAGCCCGCGTGGGACCTCGCTACAGTTCGGACTCGATTTGTGTCACGGTTCTTAATCTGAACCAAAGAGTCCAAATCTGGCAAATCGTTTTGAGAAACAGATTTTTGAAAAAGTAGTACCAAACATGGAATGCTTTGCCAGATACAGAGTCGCCACCTAAATATTTTTTTAAATGGGGGAATTTAGGAAACCCTGACTCGGTGCCGAAGGCCACATGTCCGTCATCACCGGAGTTGTCTCGGCTCGGGAGCTTGGGTACGATCGGGGAAGGTCAGCTATGAGCACCCCCTTTCGCCCGGTACGAAGACCGGCCTCTACTAACTGTGATATCCAATTTTGAAAATGTTATGTGTTCTTAATCCGGTTATTAGCCTAGAATTACTATGTTGTGCGCGCAGCAAACAAGTATAGACCAAATTACCCAAATTGGAACAAAACATTTCATGTTTGTTTTGAAAATGGTTTGCTACTCGCAAGTAGGCTAAAATGCAGATTTTGCCACCCTCAAGTGGGCTTTTAGAAAAGATGATTTTGCCACTATCTAGTGGGCTTAAAAAAAAAAAAAACTCATAGTCAACGAATTGTTCCAATCCAAATAACCCAACCTTCACCCACAAGCATTCAGGCAGTTATATCACATAAGCATATAGCCTCATGGTAAGCATGCTATTCATGGCAGTCACTCACACGGATGGAAGGATGCTAAAGCATAAAACTTACCGAGTACTCCAAGCCAAAACAGAAGCTTATTAGAAATCCATGCATGATCCTAATTATACAGAAATACCTAATGCAACACATGCAAAAGTGCAACTATAGCAGGCTCGGCTATTCTAAACATGGCCTATGAAATGCTATTAATGGTAGGTATTCAACTTGGAATTGAAAATAAGATAATGCATGAATGCACGCATGCATAGCATAAGGTATGCTAAATTAAACGTGCCCTAATCTACCATCATAAACAGGTAAATAAAAGGGAAGAAAGACGTGAGGTTGGAAGACATACACACCACTCACGCACACTTATTACAGATTTGCCCTCTCTCGGAGGGACCAAATAAATATTACAAATAATTAACTACGCAAGCTAATTAAATATTACAAAATGCCTAATCAACTAAGCAAATTAACTTAAGTTAAGAAAACAGGAAATCGCCTCGGGAAATGCACCGCCATGCATAGGCTGCCTCTGTTTTCCTTCCTTCACTCCTCTGAAGGCTTCCAAAACCTCAGGACTGCTTCCTTGGACATGGAGGGACACCACCGGCTGAATGGAATTGCCACCGGCAGTGGGATTCGGCCACCGGCACAAAATGAAGCTATCGGCTGGTGATTTACTGCCGGTCGGCAATATACACTGCCGGTCGGCAAAGAAAGCCTGCAGAACCTGCAACTCACAGCAACAGAGGGCAAGGCAAAGCATGGCAGCACAATTCAAGGCATGTATGCACCAACCATGTCCCTTATCATGGTAATGACTCAAAGGGGCATGCGTCTCGATTCTCGGACCATAAATCACACATTTCCATGCATGATGGCCCAAGTGATCAAGTATGCAATTTCCATGTCAAATGAAATGCAAACCAATCAAACAAACAAGGCCCAATTCCTATCACCAAGTCAAGGAATAAGGCATGCATGCAAGATGCAATGCAACCTAGGCATACAAGCTAAGGATGCAACATGGCATGGCAACAAACTTATGCAAGCATACAAGCAAACATGAGGTAATGCCAACTAATGTCAAGGTGGACTTAGGCATGGTTTAGGCAGTTCTAATAAGGCCTAAAACAAGGGCCAAAGTGCTAAACAAGGGACCAAAACACATGCACACATACATATGATTAAGGATCAACACTTAGGCACAAATTGGACAACCCTCAAGCACACTTGAAAGAGGCATTCATGGACAAAATAGCATGCATTATAAGCCTTGAAAACATGAATTAGAGGTGCCAAACCAACTAATTAACACAAGCAATGCATGTTAACATGATCAAAACCCAAGGCAAGTTAAAGGGAGTATTGGACCACACTTAACAGAACCAAACATGGCATGAAAGGAATGACCAAAATCAGAGGTTTAGCATATTAAAACAAAGCTAAGAGCACAATGACATGACATCCTAGGGGCCTAATCATGATGGCATACATGAAGGCATGAATATGGGGCATGAGATGACAACCAGAGAAGGCATTAAAGGGACATCAAATGCGAGCATATAAGCACATCATGAGGTCTGAAATAACATGTCAAGTGGTTCCAAACCACCGAAACAAAGCAAGGACGGCATGCTAGAAGGGCCAAAGCTTAAGGCATACAAGAGGGATTACATGGTAGCTATACAAAGCAAAGCATGAACGACTCAAATGACTTAAAACAGTCCCTAACCATGATATCCGTTTTTGAAAACGTTATGTGTTCTTATTCCAATTATTAGCCTAGAATTACTATGTTATGCGCGCAGCAAACAAGTATAGACTAGATTGCCTAAATTGGAACAAAACATAGCATGTTTGTTTTGAAAATG